TATTTCTCAAGATATTGATTCAACAGCGATCTAAACTGAAAATGGCGTCATACGACACTGGTTGGGAAGATGAACTATTTCAACATCCCGTTGGCCACACGTTGCATTGTGGTATATGTCTGAATGTTTTGAAGGATCCAGTTTCGTGTCGACATAATGAGCATTTGTTCTGTCAAGCTTGTATCACCATACATCTCATGAACTTTCAAACATGTCCATCGTGTATGGAACCACTCACTGTCGAATCACTGCGCCAAGCACCTCGGACCGCAACGAACTTACTTTCCGAATTAAAGATCCGCTGTCAATTCTTCAATCGTGGTTGCAGACAGTTTGTTGAATTAGGAGATCTCGAAAGGCATGTCACTGACTGTGGGTTTGCCCCAGCAGTCTGCTCTAACGAAGGATGCCAACTTGAGGTGAATAAACAAGATTTACTACACCATGAAACAGCTGTGTGTGAACTACGCAAAGTCAAGTGCCACAATTGCAACGAAATCAAACAAGAGATGGATACAGTGAAAGTTAATTTGGCAGCAATGAATGAAAAGTTGAAAGGAGTTGGGGATCAGTTGGACAGAAATAAGGAACAGACGCACAAAAATCAGGAGAATGTTAAAACAGAGTTTGGAAATGTGGTCACAAAAGTTGAACTGGTTCAAGAACAACTTAACAAGCAGGAAGAAAGCAATCGTCAGCTCCAAGCGGACAATGTAGAAATGAAGAGAAGTTTAAATGAAATTATGAAACAACTCGAAAGAATGACGCAACAAACATCGCATGAAGTTCAGACTGAAGAAATGAAGAAAGATATCGCGGAAGGTGGAATGGATAGAGAGCCGAAGGTCCTTATTGCTGGAGGCTGGAGTGGGAGAGGAAATCTAAATTCAGTGGAAATGTTCAGTCTCTTAAACGCAACTTGGACACCACTAAAGCCAATGAAAGAAGGTCGTAACAGAGCATCTTCAGTTGTTCACAACAATCAAATTTTTGTCATGGGAGGTGCGGGTAACAGTGGAGGAATCAAGTCAATTGAAAAACTATCACTGAATGCTGTTCAAGTTGATCAGTCCATAACTTGGGATTCAAACGTTCTGGCTGAGTTACCTGCACCATTGAATGGACAGTGCAGTGTAGTTTATAATGGACGGTTGATAGTGATTGGAGGTTTTGATGGTAGTAAATGTGCATATTCTGATCGTATTACTGAGATTTCCCTTGTCCCACCTTATACCAGTAAACTGTTGGCTACCATGCCACAGGCAAGATATCTTCATGGTGTTGCAATGTTTGGTGACAAAATACTGATTCTTGGAGGCAAGCACAATCATTCTTCCAGTACAAATCTTGCAAGTGTTTTGTTGTATGATATTACTAAGAATAAATGTAAGGAGTCAGCAGCCCTCCCCTACCCCGTGTCTGCAATGGCCACAGTCAAGTGGGGTGATGACAGTGTGATCATAGCGGGTGGTGTTGACAGTAACGCTCAACTATTAAACAAAGTTTTATTATACAACATGAAGACCCAGAAGAGTCTTATGTTACCAGACATGAAGTATAAGAGGAGAGAATGTGTGGCTGCAGTTGTCAGAGACACTGTGATTGTCATGGGAGGCCATGATGAAACACACTTAAAGTCTGTAGAATGTTTTCGATTTGATCGCTATAGCTGGCAAGAACTTCCTGAAATGCAGGAAGAGAGATCCTGGGCCACTGCAGTTGTATGTTAATTATGTATTGCATATATTGGCATCCTAATTAAGTTGTTGCAGTATTTATACACTTTTGTACTTGGGATATGATCATACTTTTATAAATAAAATTTTGTACTAATTTGACCAAGTTTTATAAAGAAAAATTAATTTGTTCAAATCGTTGAATTTGTGGTTGAATAAAGTAGTGTGCATCAGGGCACATTGTGGCTTAATAGGTTAATATTAAACTACCGAGATGGAATGCGCCCAAATGCACGCTATGCCCCGAGGGAAATATCATCACTGAAGGTATTAATGATGTTTTGCAAAATCCTGCGAGCTGAGGGTCTATATTTTAAAAATGATATATTATACCGAAAATTAACTTAAAAAAGCCTCCAAGTTGAGAATATAAAAGTTGTCACATACCTTCGTGAATACGATGTTTTATTTTCCGCAAATATTTTTATTAACTGTGGAAATATTGATGGTAAACATTCTTCAAAATTTGTACATTTTGTCGGCCATCTTGTTTGGGTGATCGCCACGCGTGGTTCACGCGAATCGTATACACAAGCAAAATCTCACATCTTGTATTTAGTAACAGTCAACAAGTTTGTAACAAGTTTGTAACAACCTTGTTGATATTATCAGGCTTGTTACAAGGTTGTTTCAACAAGTCCGATACAGTCATGATATAGCAGTAATAGTATTGTTACAACCTTGTAACATTCTTGTTATATCATGGCTGTATCCGACTTGTTAGAACCTTGAAGTCTGATAATGCCATCGAACTTGTTACAAGTTGTTAACAGCTTGTTCCAAACTTGTTCCAACAACTGGGAACAAGCAGTGCGAACACAACTTGTTGACAGCTTGTGAACAGATTTGTAGCAACTTGTTTGCAAACCTGGTTTTACGTATGTATGATGAAACCACCACGTGATTTGTGCATACCAGTGGCTTTATTTTATTAAGAGGGTCCTGAAGGGGTAAAATGGGAACTAGGATTTGCTTATTTTTGGGTGGGAAAATGGGATTTCATGCACTGGGACTCATCAGCAAAAAAACAATAGTAAATGGGAATGGGATTAAGATTTGAGCAGGACAGCCACTGAGATGATGGGATTTGTGCTCTGGGACAATGGGATTTAGTCAAAATTTGGGCTGGGAAATGGGAATACGATTAAAGCGACTGCTACACAGGCTAGATAGCGGTACTGAAGGAAATTTTCATTGGCACTTTCAAAGACACTAATGGATCTATAACCAGTCAGTTTAAAAAAGGTGTAACGTGCGATTAGCCTTATACGAGAAGTACTTTCTATTAAGCCTTTCTTTCAAAAAAATGCCTCCCTAACCACCTCCATTTCAAAGGAAGAAATTCTTCGACGTTTCAACTTTCAAGCAAGGCCGGCCCCCTTCATTGGAACCTCGGGGCATTTCCATTGGCCAAAAGGGACCTCCCACCGGCGGAACGAAGTAGGAACGCAGCCGATCGTGGCGGTAAGGCCATGCGTGCCTATGAGGGTGGGGGGGGGGGTGGGGGTCGGGTACAGGGGCATGTCCCCCGGAAACTTTTTGAAATCAATAGTGCGAAAAACGCCATCATGTTTCCTGCATTCAGAGCCTTCAAATTTGTTCTAAGATTTATGCTAACTGTACTTGTATTTCAGATAAAAATAAGGAAAACGCACAAACTTTATTTACCAAAAGTAGTATGATGAATGAATGAATGAATGAAAAACTTTATTTTACGAGGGTAGCACATAATAGTGAATTCACACTAACAAACCTGTGGCCCTCAGATACAATAAAATATTACAATAATACATACTAGATTAACTAAACAATATATACATAAATAAGATTTCTAAAATACAAAATTAGTAGTTTGAAAATATTGTAGTAAAAGTAGTAAAATGTTTATGTTCTTTCTGATATTCTAAAAATATATTAACAATAGACCGTTTAAATGTTTTGGCTGATGCAATGGATCTTATGTTCAGCGGTAAACTGTTCCAAAGTTTAGTGTGCATGTTGAAAACCTTTTACCACCCTCAGTTTGACGATAATATTTCGGCGTTCTAAATAACAGTCCTGCACCACGTGTGGAACGAGAGTGCACTTCGCTATTCAATACGGCCAGCAAATCTTTCAGATATTCTGGTCCCTCACCATTAATACGTTTATGCGCCAACATGCACCTCCTGATATCTGATTCGACATGAAAAGGAATCCAATTAAGTTGATTG